TCCTCGTCAGTATGCAGTCTTCGCTCTAGTTCGTGCCTATTAGTACGTTTGGCAAGGTAGTGCTAAGATCCAGCAGGGATTTTACTTTTGGATTCCAACAGGTTCACCGATCTCTTTGAGATTTAGTGACTGGTGAGTTGACGATGATAGTTTTGCAAACAGAGGCCTCCGCACCATACAGAGAGGCCGAGATCCCATTCCACGAAATTTTGATGTACCTAAGACGACAAGGTAAAAGATCGGTACGCAGGGCATCCCGGCACAATTGTCTGACCCGGAATGGGATAACTGTGTAGTTGCCAGTTGATAGAGACCGTGGTATGCATCCCGGTAGAGTTCATGGGAAGACGAAATGGTATTGAAACTTGATTAGAATCGACGCAAGTGGTTCAGAACGAGCGAAAGTCCAGGATGGAGCCAAGTCGTTAGTAGCGTATAGAAAGGCGGTCTATTTGGGCTCATCGTTGACCAAATATAGGAGACGCCAAGTGGCACTTCAGCGCCTACTGCACTTAAAAGCCATGCACTGAGCAGTTGCGAGATATCCTCGCCGTTATCCGTCAGTTCGGAGCTAAGCCCATACTTATCACTTGGCTGAGCTCCTGAGCAGCTCAGAAGGCCCAATTGCGCAATTGTATCTCCCGCAACAAGCAAGTCAATAACAGCAGTACGTCAGTCATTTGAACATGATTCGCTGTCATACAAGCATGAGGACTTAAGGAATAAAGAATAATAAGAGGGAGAGAAGAGGGACTTACCTGAAAACCTTAATGCCCTAAGCAAACATTCAGGGTCAATGCGCCTACACCTTGTGTTAACATACCGTCACAAAAAGCTGGCTATCGTGCAAAGGCAGCATCAGCAAGACAGATTCCTTGCGGCTTTCACTGCCCCGTGTCATAATCAGGCATCACGCTGCAGATAGCACCAAACACATTTTAAACAGGCAATCCGACTAGGAGACGGCAGCAAACGCGCCACTGGTGTCGGTTGCGAGTCATGTCCTGTAATGTCTCGAGCCAAGCACAAGGTAAGTCACGTGGGCTACAGCCCGGAAGGCGAAACGGATCGACAGCACCGAGTTGGGTCGTTAGTGAGTTCATTTCGGCTGAAAAGCGGTGTGCCTACCTCGAGTCTTGCGCCACCCCACACCTGGCAGACTAAACAAGACCCTCCTCGGTAAGCGGTGATCTGGAATACGTAGCACGTGCCCAAGCCAACGCAACCTATTCAGTGCTATCTGTTGATCTAGGGAGATAGCATGATTATCACTACCTAGTACTCGCCTACGCATATCATCGTTGCGAACACGCTGGTGCCATCCGACACCAGCAATGCTTCGCAGACAATGATGATCAAAGACATGAAGGTGTCTCAGATCTTTAGAACGAAGGGGCTAAGTCTCACTCTCATAGAGTAGGACGGCCCTCACTGTAACCTTGTATGCACGGCCTTTCAGACGGTGGGAAACTCCCTTCTGTCGCCAAAGATGCCGCATGTCCAAGAAGGTAGCTCTGGCCTTTACAGTGCGTGAGCTGGCGTCAGTTTCTATGCGCCCATCCTTGCTAATCCAGCTGCCAAGATAAGTGAAGTGATCAATCACTACAAGTTCCTCGTTATCAAGGGTAAAGGAATCATCAAGTGGCTGGTGGTCCTGCAGCAACACGTTGCATTTTGAAGGTGCGAAGCGCATCCCAAATAACGAGACAATTCTAGATAGGTTATTCAGCATTGATTGCGTCGCCCCAACACCGTCAATAAGCAACACGATAATCAAGACCAACTAACCCTTCACCAGGCAGGAGCTCAACACCTACATCGTGAGATTCCGTAAGGGAACACACCATGATCGAGTCCACGACGAAAGTGAACAAAAATGGGGAAATCGGACAAGCTTGACGAAGGCCACTTGTTGTCGGAAATCTATCCGACAGGTCACCGTAGACACTGACGTGGCCCATGGTGTTCGAGTATAGAGCACGTAGGATGTTCACATATTTCGTGAGAACACCTTTCCGTGCAAGTATTTCGAACAGAATCGATCGATCGACTGAATCGAACGCACTCTTGAAATCGAGGAACACAGCTATTTTAGGTCTGCGGTATGTGTGACGCTGTTCTAGCACCTGCTGCAGAGTAAATATATGATCTATACAGCCACGTCCTGGGCGGAAATCTGCCTGCTCTTCCATAATCCGAGATTCCCGTTCCACAGTGAAGCGACGAACGAGAATCGAGGTCAGTAGTTTGGTCACAACTGGCCTTAGGCTAATACCGCTGTGGTTAGCACAGCCTGTGCGATTGACCTTGTGTTCTGCCACTATAATCGATTCCCGCAACAATAACGATATCTGAACCGGTAACGCTACTAGCTGAGTACGAAGCAGATAAAAGACAGCATGTCAATCGAACTGCTTCTGAAGACGCTCAGCCCAAACAGATAGTCGGCACTTCTTATCGCGAATTGGGAAGGGTATTGCTTTTTATTTTGTGGTCAATCAGTCAGCAGCAGTACGTCGTCACATTGTATCGACGCTACGCTGTCATACGAGTACAAGCCGCCCGAGGGATGGTTGTACCGCGAGGTCGCTCGAACATACGCGGATTCGAATCAGTGACCGGATTAGAACACATGCACACAATAGTTTAGACCACCGGCCGAATACTCAAATGTATAGCTGATGGACGATTTCTTGGGGTCAGCAAAAAGGATCGCTTAGAAGTACAACCCTTGCTTTTCCCATTTCTTGAGTTGCTTGTTCCCCAAGGTGCCCTGTTACCCGTCTCAACTCGCACTTGATAAATCGTCCAGTCGCATGGCTCCCGATAGCAGAAAAATTTCGCCGCGTGAGTTCTAGCAGGCACGACAACCTATTGGATATGGCGTCTGGTACGAAGGGTAAAGGCATAAGCAGAAGCTGCCTGTAAGGAGGCTGAAATTCAAGTTATTAAAATGTCCTCATGATAAAAAGTAGAAGCTTAATGTGCACTACATCCTGGCAAGATCACCTATGAGTTGAAGCGGCTTCTTGGTAGGAGTAACTAGCGGCTGCATGTCAAAGCATGATCAGAAGAGAAGTGTGTTCCAAAACATGCAATAAACGACAGAAGAAATCGACCAGTAGTGAGCGACTAGAGGCGAATAACAAGGTAACGGGCGACGGACAGGACAAAAGGCAAGGAATCAGCCGTCCAAAACCTGGTGGCAATGTTCCGCTCCTAGTTCGCCATAAGGCACAGGCAATTAAAGTCAGGTCAAAAAGTCGGAGAACGTAGAGAGATGACCTCTCAGATTTCCTCATGGAAAAGAATAAAAACCCGAGTGAATTCGAAATACAGAAAACACTAGCTCAATGTTGGTCAGGTCAGGCCTTTAGAGACAAAACAGCCTTTCGTCTAACGAGCGTCACGTTTCGTGTGCCGGTAGGCAAACCATGGTCCCTAGCACGTCGACGTCCAAGTTTCACTACTGGAGAGACAAAAAAGAGTAAGAGGAGCCTCCCATTAATTCATGGAACTATCCATAACATCCTATTAACCAAGGAGTATTTAGTGCCAATTTGTACCCACTAATTCCAGTACGGTTCCGGAAACAGAGTGGACCAACACATATCTAGGCCTTTTTTAAAGGCTTCTAGAGTATTACAATCCACTACTGCAGGGGAAGTAAATTCCAACTACGTACTACGCGGTTAGTGAAAAAGTTCGCTTGGATATCCAGTCTTGAGCTCTGCTTCATGAGCTTCAGATGGTGTCTCGCAGGTGGTCCGATGTAGCTAGTTCAAAGAGATCAGTATGCTTAATGCCAGACACCCTTCATAATCATAAAAGTTTCTATCATGTTTCCTCTTAGTCTGCGTCGTTCCACTGAGAACATACCTAAACAATGCAGGCGGTCAAAATACGACTTTTCACGCTGGCCTTCAATCATTATGGTGGCGTCTTTATACCTTACCTAAGAAACTGACATCCTTTTGCTTAAGCCTGACACGATACTCTAAGTGCGGCCGAATCGCCCCTTTGCATAAAAAAATTTTGTATTACAGAACGCTCTCCTGAGACGAAAAATTTCCTGCTGTGCTGTGTTAGCGCCATGTTGGCACTGCGCCGAAGGTCTGAAATTATCTACCATAATGATGCACAAGTCCCTCGTTTTGTCTACAAACTGCAATGTCAGGGACCTAGTGGATGTTTGTACCGTAATCCCAACATTACCTGATGATAGCAGCTGACACTTGTTCGCGTAAAATGGCAAGTCCCATGATTCAGACTACTGCCACAGTCCCCCGATCTTTAGAAAACGTACCCCTATTTCCCCTACTGACAAGCTTCTAATGATCCAGAAAAAGAGAACAAGGGTTCTCGAGGAGTGGAGCCAGATCATAAGAAATAACAACGGCCATAGCAGTGAACCTTGGGGGACTCCGTTAGGAACAGTGCCCATGCTAGAAGTGGCCTCACCAATTCTGACACTGAACCTTCTGCTACAGAGGAAATGCGACAACCAAATCATTTGGGGATGCAACCCGAGCCAAGTCAGCTTCTCTAGCAAAAAAAATGATTAACCGAGTCAAATGCTTTACACAAGTAGGTGGAGGACCTCTACTGGAACCACGATATTGAGGCATGAAACTATTCGTCCCAAAAACACAGAAGGTTTGTAAGACATGACTTCTTTCTTATGAAGCCATGCTGTTCCGCTCCAATAATTTGTTAACAACTAAATGCCCACAAAAATTCGGTGCCTAATAAGTTTCTCCAGGCACTTAGGCAGTAACTTGTCAGACTGACGGGCCTATAGTTGAGTGGCGCAGCCTTGGAGCCCCACTGATGAATCATTGCTAGTAAGTTGGCCGTTGTAGATAGGTTAGGGGATTGCGTGCAGATGCTGGATGAAGTAAGGTGACCGAGCATAGCGCTAAAAGCCACATAAGGAGAGACTTTTCCAACCAATTAGTTGCACGAGAAATGGAGTGAGAGCTAGACAAAAACCAACATACTCTTTCGAACAAGCTTCTATGTTTCAAATCTGGTGATGTGTCCGACAGTCGTTGCTGTGTCTGAGTAAGATCAAAAGTTGTCGAATAGTAGAAACCATCTACGCTTAACGCTGTATTCAGCATTTGACAGTAGACACGTTCATCTTGAACCTGAATGCAAGGGTCAAAAATGAGCCAAATACCTGGATATCTGATAGATTAATGGTTGATTTTACAAAAGGGTAAATGTCACTGCCTGTAATTTTCCAAACAGTGTGTCCAAACAGATCGCCCACTTTAGTGCGCGCAGTAATTACGACCAGATGAAAACCTGCAAGCTAGAGAAAAAGCCACAAACCTGATAGCAACCTAATAACACCCCATATACCAAACACACGCTTCGCTTCTAACGTCGGCGGAAGTTTTTGTAAATCGACTGCAAACAATATGTGAGGGTATGCATAAACTTACACTCGATTGTTATGTTCTGAGATACACGATCAATGGACAGAAACTCCTTGGAACCCAGAGGGAGGAGGAAGTAACTTTCGGGGGAAGTAAATCTATGAATGCGCATTCGCATACACATTAGGGCAAATAGAAACGAACAAATTATACTCTTCGTGTATCATGGTAAGGATGCCGATGAAACAAATGTAGACGTCGCTAGTCTGCGCCCGAACGAAGGCGAATCAACATACTAAATGGGAACCGACCGCTTCACAATACGTCAACGAAGGGAAATTTGCTCTTGGTGCTGGGTACACCTTCCTCCTTAACTCATTTTAAGGATAAACACAAGCAGTGGGATTGCATGTGTTTGTACAATAGTGTTTATATATTATGAGAAAAAGCATGTAAGTTATATGTTAAACGTCGCATGCGTAGCTGCCATTATAGTTTTGATAAGTAAGTTTAAGTTCAAGTGGGACTAGAACGATAGGACTATCCCGAGGGTGTCCTCTCTTCAATGGGACGTTGAACCAGAAGTTGGCAGTCTTTAAAATGCCGTTGGAACTAAAACAAAGACCACCTCACACCCTGTCCAATCAATTACTGCCAACCAATCCTGCCCTAGGAGTCACTGCGGGGACCGTTAGGTGAAGTATACATGCTGGAGGCAAACAGGGCGCATAAAGAGCTATGCAAGTGGAATAGCAAGATATTTCAGAACTAAAAGGAGCGTAATAGTGAAGGTGAGCCAGTTAGGTAAAAGGAAATATCTGGTGTTGCCACTCAACGGCATCCGGCTAGCGCGAAAAGTTCTTAACCTCAGGTTCCCATTTCTACTTAAATTTTGTCTTGGTAATTGTGCTTTTTATTATAGTTGTGTATTTGACATATTTACCTTTTCAGGGCATTAGCTTTCGGTTATGCAGCAAAGCATTAGCATATATTCAAATTTGCGCGTGCTGTGAGACGACCGTTTAATCAACTGGATGCAAGCGCTGGGACCGACGTGTCACCGGCAGTCCAGAGGGAAGAGAAATCGAGAGGACAATGGGTAGCAGAACAGGATCACGATAGTCAACAATGCGTTTGCTGCACTCCGCTACAGCACACACGATAAGAACGTAAATAAAATTAAATAAGATGGACAAATGGATATGGTGCAACACCAATTTGTAGAGCTGACAGCAGTGATACCATCGATACAGTCTGCTAATGAGTGCTTGTTTGCCTGCCTCTTGCTCCCGCAGAAACGTGACATACAAAGAACAAATGGAGTACGGTAAGCAAGTGTGCGGGCATAATTGGCTTGGTATGTCTGTCTGGTTGGAGACGTTGAGATACATTGGGTTAATGCACAATAGAGTGGGTGACTGCCATCAGTGAGTATATTGAACACCCGCTTTTAGTGGAAGCGATTGTGCGTGGATACAATGACGTACGTAAACACTAGCATGGAATTTTCGCTACAGTAAGCAAAGTGCACCAGGGACCTCTTGCAAGTTCAAGTTCAAGTTAAAGTGGAACTGGAACAATGGGATGAATCCCGTAAGTATTCCTTTTTGAGCGGGTCGTCGATCCAGGAGTTGATAGAGGTGCTCCGACTTCTTGATGGGTCTAAAAGGAAAACACCCGAAACAAACTCTGGTCCACCAATTTAAAGCCGACTTTCCTTACATTAGCTGTCTCAACTATGCCAGTTCCTTGAGATGAGAAAAAGAAAAAGCGAAGATAAGAGAGTAGGAGAAATCCGTTATAAGAAGAGAATAATACCAATGGCTAGGAAAAGTACAGAAAATAGAATAGAAGTAGGAAAATGAGAATTAGTCAGGAAAAAGGAAAGGTTTCGTGGTGCCACCCAAGAGCGTCTAGTTGACGCACAAACCCCTTAACGGTAACTTCCTTGACAATCTTTTCTGGAAGCAGGTTCCAGCGCTCGATGACTCGACGTGATAACCGAGTCTCCGCTCTAACTCGATCGGACCGCTGTTTGTCTGGCTTCATACAATGCCCACGCAGACCAAATTATCTAACAGGACTAAATAGCATGGAAAATCAGGGCCAACCTTCCCAGTCAAACTACGCTAGGTTAGGATTAGGCCCCTTCTAATCCTTCGATAGCGCATTGACTGCATCTCCAAGCTAAGTAGGCGCTCAGGGTACGTTTGCTTTCGTAATCCCTTGACCAACGTAGTATTGACACGCAACACCCTTTCTAGTGCCTTTTTGTCCCGGGCAAGGCATGGTGGACAGGCCTGGACGCAATATTCTAGGTGGGGTCGCACAAACGCTGAGAAGAGCTTCACAAACACATCAGCAGTTAGGGTCCAAAAAACGACGGATAAACCACAACATCCGGAACCCTTTACTAGCCGCTTCTTCAAGTTGTCTCCAGCGTGTAGTGTGGAACAGTGGACGGTACCAAGATCAACTTGTTGAGTCACGGGGGAAAGTTCGCTCTCATCGAGCACATAACTTGTGGAGGAAACAGACGCTCCGATACGCAACACTGAACACTTTGCCCGGTTTATGGACAGCAACCACAAGACAGACCATTCCCAGAGTCTATCCAAAGCCCGTTGAATAGCCACAAGACCTCAAGGGATATCAACAATATTCCAGAGCTTTAGGTCATCAGCAAGTAAGAGTGATTGTACTTCAAGCTCCTCCGGCAAGTCACTCACGTAGACAGAAAAAAGCAGCGGACCTACGACAAAGCCTTGCGGAACGCCGCTAAGTACGGCATGTCGTAACGAAAGACTGCTTCCCGCACGAATAAACTGTTCCCGTCCATCCAGCGAAGCTGACACACATCGGAGAGCGCGACCAGCTATTCCATACGACCTTAACTTCAGTGAGAGTCGCGAATAGGAGACAGTTTCATTGGCCTCGGCGAAGTCGATGAACACCACATCCACCGCAAGTCCACTGTCTACGGCTTCAGCCAAGCACTCAGGAGCTACCAGCAAGTTCGTCTGACACGAAAATCCTTTGTGAAAACAATGTTGCTCGATGCAAAACAGGTTAAACCTATTTACATGGTCCTCCACTGTATCTCGTATTAATTTTTCTCTTTTGCTGGCTTTGAATTGCCTGTTTATGAGTCCAGAAAGTATCACAAGCGATTAATACGATTAGTGCGGTAGTAGGTAAGCCATGACAAACCGTACAATCACGTAACAAGGCACAGATGAATAACTAACTCGGGTGACCTAGAACGTTAGTCATCTGCCTCTAGTGAAGGTTTTATGCACATGCTTTGGCATCGTGAGTTTCCGACGTAGGGTACCTTCGAGATATTTCCCTAATTTACAGGTGTATAGACTGACACTGTCAATAATAAGATGAGTAGTTTGCATCGGGAGCTGCAGATAGCAAGTTTTCCCGGCCAGCGAAACAATATCATCCTGAAACTTTGACTCGTTGAGTCTAAAGCCGAGGAAAATGGACCTGGAGCTGAGGTTGTCCAAAAAGCACTGCAATGTGCAGATGAAGCTATTGTGCGATTGCGCACACCAAGGATCACGTCAACAGCATACCACAGCAGGAAGGCTTCCTTTGGAGCGGGAAGGCAGTTAAGGTACGCAGAAACCAGGAATGGGGAAAGAATAGCTCTCTGATGAACAACTAGTGTGTGGTGAGTGGGGAACAGCTTTTCCCCTGCATCCTAGTAAACTGTAAGATTGGCAAAGTAGTCGTTAAGCAAAAATGAAGTTTGAACTCCGGAAATAAGAGGGTCGTGTACCATTATCCCGCGCTTTGCACAACCTAAAATATCGCTGTACTCTAACCAGCAGATTCCAGTGGGGCTATTGTTACTACTAAGTCATGTATGCGCGGTTTAGCAGACAGGCTAATGCAACGAAAGTAAACCTTGAACTGCGATATGCCCACTGAAATTTAGCAACTGAGTGGGTTTGGACAAGCATATTTTTGGATGTGATTCGAAATGTTTCGGAATATTGGTAGCTCGGAAAGCTTGTTCAGTTCTTGTGGAGTTCTCCGCATCTGGCAACTTGATTGTAAGCATGTTACTCAGTTCGGAGAATTCCAAACAACTGATCGGGTATGTTTCGGTCAGCTATCTGCAAAATTAACTGCCATACAGGCAATAAGCAGAAAAATGACTAAAAAAATAAAGGTATATTGCTAGCCTTGGCGAAAAACTGTGCCCTCTAGGGGTCAGATCATATGGTACGGTAACCACATGCTCTTGCATGAGTAATAATGGTGTTAAGTTTATATAATACTTGAGCGCGAGTACTACACCAAGGCTGCAGGAACCATCTCTCAACGATATTCATTCCAGATCCCTTAGCGGGTTTCGGTAAATTACTGGTTTCGATAAATGGCAGTCTCATGGGAAAATAGAGGAAAAGCGATGGCATCAGAAACGTTAAAAAGAGGTAGTAATAATTGCTAGTAAATAGAACTAACATTTTTGAAAAAACTAGCTAAAAGCGGACGGTACTTCGGCGTATTTAGCTAGAAAGAGTAAACGTAGAATATAGCAAATGTATCTGATTAACGGATGACCTCCAGTGCCATGCTCAGATACCTTTATTCGCTGCAAAAATTAAAAAACAATTTAGTAGCGTAAATATTGCTAAAAATAAAAGCTAGATAGCATAGAATATCGCTCGATCGCTGTTCAAGATAAGAGCAAAATTGCCACAATACTTGAAGTATTTCCCGAGTTCCTGAGCGACAGCCGATACCGTAACCAAAACTCTTGCTACCAAGGCCGTATAACTTTTCACTCATATCCGGTGGAAATAAGCAGTTATAAAAGTGGAGTATTGCTATAGCATCTCAATAGGGCTGCGTACCTAGAAAAGTACAACCTAGCTGCAAAGTAGCAGTACTTACAATGTGCGCCGCAGTGGTCACAACAGTCCTTTCCAGCGTACATAATATAACCTGGACGAACATGTGAAAAACCTACAGGGAAATGCTCGTAACGCACTAGTGAATATTTCGCCCGTGCGAGCGTACGTGACTCGTTTATTTAGACAATGGTTGAATGACCTCCTTGTGTCTTTCGCAGAGTCTAGTTCATCTAGTTGGCTGGCTAGCCGAACAACCTCCTCGTGCTGCCAGCTGGGTGGTACGGGTTTAACCCGTTCCAGCTAATAGTTCGGCGGCGGTGTTCCAGGACGTGGTGGGTTTTCTTCTGGCAAGCATTCTTCCTATAAAAAGCCACAAATATCTGCTTAACAACACTGTGACGTGGCGGTCGTGGCTTGCCACAAAATAAAGCCACTGCTCATTGGATAGCTGGATAATCCTTTCCAACCCACCAACACCAAT